GGACTATTTATCCCATCCAAAGTACTAAACCTTGTATGAACTCCTAATTCAAAAAGTTTTTTTTCTTTTCACATCGCTAATAAAGGCAATTTATTTAATCTACTTTTATTATTTTCAGATAACGGAACACTTAGCGAGCCCTCTTTATAACTACTAATTTCTTCGTTTAATTCTTCTCTCTTTTTTAAAGCAAAATAAATGTTGGGCAGACCGATCTTTCCTAGCATTTCTTTCAAGGCAATAATTTTAGGCCTTCAACTATTTAAATCATGTTGTCCAGCAAAGTATAAATAAACAATATTATTTTGACAAATAGACTTTTCTAGCAAACTCTTTTGCTTAACAAAAAAAACTAACTCTTCCTGTTTCTTTCACAGAAAAGGAGTAGAAAGGAGTAACAAAAAATATTCTTGAATAGTACTCGTACTTATTTCTAGGTTATCGGTTTTTATTTTTATTTGGTAATCAAAATAATCTAAGAGATAATTTAGTTTGTGGTAAATACAATATAACACTTTTTCAAGTATTTTTGCCGAAGGTAAACTAGGAGCAGTAATTTCTAAGCAATTAAGAGGAGAAAAAGAAAATTCGAACTTCTCAAAACCTTTAACTTCTTTCTCTGTTTCAAGTTCTTTCAAGAATTTCGATAACATTAGTTAGATATAATAAAATTTATAGAATTTGAAAAAAATTCTGAAATTTAAAAAAAGCGTAGAAAGTCAAGAAAAAACTCGGAGGAAGTATTTAAAAAGAGGCTATATCTAAAGCCTTATTTAGTCTTTTTACTTTTCTTACTAATTAACAATCCAATCACTACTCCAACTACTAATACTGTTATTCCACCTAACATATAAGGAAAATAATCAGCATTATTTAGTGTTTTACTATCAACATATTTCTCCAATTTCTCTAATTTAGACTGCTTTTGATTTAATTTGGTTTGCTTACTAAAACTTAAAGCACCATTGTTTTTTAATTCCACAATTTCAGACTTTAATTTTTTGATTTTACTAGTTAACTGCTCTTTGGATCAGTTCTCATAGTTCTCG